GGGACTCGATCCCAGGACCCTGGGATCATGACCTGAGCCGAAGGCAGACGCTTAACCATCTGAGCCACCCAGGCGCCCGGAAAAGAAATTATTTTAAAAAGCAACATATATATATTCACACTCCTTGGAATGGCTACTATAAACAATAACAACCACAACAGAAAATAACAAGTGTTAGCAAGGATACAGGGAAACCCTCATGTACTATTGGTGGGACTGTAAAATGGCGCAACTGGAAAACAGTATGGAGGTTCCTCAGAAAATTAAAAATAGAACTACCGTATAATCCAGCAATGCCACTCTGGGTCTATATCCAAAATCACTGAAAACAGGGTCTTGGAGAGATAGCTGCACTCCTGCGCCCACAGCAGCACTATCTACCGTAGCCAAGAGGGAGACGCAACCCAGATGTCCATCAGCCAATAGACAGATAAACAAAATGTGTTATATACATACAACAGGATATTGTTCAGCTTTAAACAGGAAGGAAATGCTGTCACATGCTATGACATGGATGAACCTTGAGGACATTAGGCTAAATGAAATAAGCGAGTCACAAAAAGACAAATACCGTATGATTTACTTATATGAGATATCTAAAGTACTCAAATTCATAGAAACAGAAAGTAAAATGGCGGTGACCAGGGGCTGGGGGGAGGGAGAAACAGGAATTGCTATTTAATGGGTCAAGAATTTTAGATTTGCAAGATGAAAAGGTGATGGACATCTGTTTCACAACAATGTAAATATACTTTACACTACGGAACTATATACTTAAAAATGGTTAATGTAAAAAAATGGTTAATATAGCAAATTTGACGTTATGTTTTTTTAATCACAATAAAAAGGGTAGAATGAAAAAAGCAATCTACATTAATTTACAGAGATAAAAAATAGAAGTTATCAGAGAGGTTGGGGGGAAAGGAGCAGTTACTATTCAACAGGTATAGAGTCTTTGCTGGGGACAGGGACACAACATTGTGAGTGTACTTAATGCCACTGAATTTTACATTAACAAATGTTTATAATGTTATGTGTATTTTACCACAACTTTAAAAAAAAAAAAAGCAACATGCATTAAACCCCCAGCTGGGAATTCCTCTTGACCTGACAAACTGGCAGGGGTGAACCATCCTATAGCACTTTGGATTCTTCAGTAGGAAAACATAAAAATAAGCCACAAGCAGGGCACCTGGGTGGCTCAGTTGGCTAAGCAACTGCCTTCAACTCCTGGGATCGAGTCCCCCATAGGGTTCCCTGCTCAGCAGGGAGTTTGCTTCTCCCTCTCCCTCTGCTGCTCCCCCTGATCGTGCTCTCTCCTTCTATCAAATAAATAAATAAAAATCTTCTTTAAAAATTTGTAAACATCTTTGATACAGAATATGTGTATCTTTGTTTGGTTTTTGCTTTTTGCTTTTTTTTCTTTAGAGGGAAATGAGAAGTGCTTGTGATAACACTGTTAGCCGTTACCCAGAAGGCAAGAGGGATGTGAGAACCAGGAGCTGTCTGTCCTGGCTCTACTGTGGAGTCAACACCTTCCTGTCTTTGCTTCTCTGAGCAAAGCAGCACCCAGCATGGTGCATTGATGCTCAGGGGCCAGAGAACCAACTGGGTCCCTTCTGTGGGTACGCTGTTCTGTCTGCTTCTGTTTCTTCAACTTTAAACTGACATAAACCACAAAATTGTGCTTGCCAGGATGACAGGAGATATGAAACCAGTATTAACGGAACACTCCAGAGTCCCTGGTTAAAAACAGAATGAGAATTGGTATGGATACAACAGTCCCACTAAAACTCACTGACTGCTTCTGAAACCAGTGAGATCAAAAGAGTCTGTACTTTGGTGCACGGTGAGCTAGGGACCTGCCACCACCCCCGCCCCCGGGTCATGCTAACATCTGAATGATGATCCCAAGAATTACCCACACGATGTATATAAAGTAGTTAACGGGGCCCAGCATAGCTGAATTTAACACATACATAAATTCTAACGCATTCAATACTGCCAACTAGAGAGTCTGCAGTCATTTTTTGGATATTTTCCAGTTGGATATCTTGTTTTTCTATATTTAAGCATTTCCTGATTTTCCCTCTGCTTCTATTCCTTTTCACCCTCCCACTCAGCTGTTCTCGTTGATACCGAAGCCTACAGCAAAAGTGAGCAGCAAAAATGGAAGAGAAGTAAGGCCAGAAGGCAGGCAGGTCTGGAAAGGTGTCAGCAGACGCCCAGGTCCAACCCCCTCTGGAAAGACCACCACACGCACCTGCGGAGCGCCTCCAGGAAGACATCTCCTCCCACAGTGTCGATGGCCACGTTCACCCCCGCACTGCCCACCAGCTTCCTCACTGCCTCCTTCAGGCCGCCCTGACCATAGTTCACAGTGGACTGTGCGCCCTTCTGCATCGCCAGCTTGCACTTCTCGTCACTTCCGGCTGCAGCTATCACCTGCACAGAGAACACAAAGCTTCTGATGATCCAGAATGTGTACCAAGAGGGGCTCACCCTACCCACTCAGCTTCCCACCAAAGGGTACTAACCGAGGAAACCAATGTGACCTTGCTGCCCCAGCATCAGCCTCAATCCCACACGTCAAGGCCAACCCTCAGCACCATCACACTGGACCCTCCACACCCACTGGCCATGAGATTCACATTTCCAGGAATCCTGGAACCCCAATGAGTCTAGCTAGGAGATGATTCAGGAGACACTCAGAAAGTCTTCTCCAAATGTGGATGAAACCGTCATTTCCTGAGCACCTACTATGAGTCAAGTAATAAAGATACCCAAGCCTAGAGTCAAGATAGCAAGATACAGCAGTGTGAAGGTGGGGAAGAACAGAGGGTTGCAGAAGTGCAAATGAGAGGTAGTCAATCTAGATCGAGATCTCGAAAGGCTTCTCAGAGGGTAAAACAAGATTCGGTAAAAAGATCTTCAAGTCGGAAAGACCTGAGTTCAAATCCTGGCTCTGCTACTAACTAGCAGCATTACCTAAGACAAATGTAATACTTACATAATGCTCACTATGTGCCAGGTACTCTTCTAAATGCTTTACATATATTCATAACTCACTTAGTCTTAATAACCCAATGATACACACACTATGAGCGTCCCCATACTAGAGATGAAGAAACTGAAGCAGAAGAAGTTAAGTAACTTGCTCAAGGTCACACAGCTAATGGGAGGCAGAACTGGGATCAAGCCCAGGTTGTCCATCTCCAGAGTTCATGCTTTTAACCTCTATGCTGCCCACCAGCTTCCCTAAGCTTCAGTTACCTCATCCGTAAAACAAGATTTATTTTAAAAATCAAATCGAATACTGTACATAAGGCACTTGAAAAATAAAGTGCTAGATAAATGGAATCTATTGTTTTTTTTTTTAAACAATTTTTTTTTTTAAGATTTTATTTATTTATTTGAGAGAGAGAGAATGAGAGAGAGAGCACATGAGAGGGGGGAGGGTCAGAGGGAGAAGCAGACTCCCTGCCGAGCAGGGAGCCCGATGCGGGACTCGATCCCGGGACTCCAGGATCATGACCTGAGCCGAAGGCAGTCGCTTAACCAACTGAGCCACCCAGGCGCCCAAAATGGAATCTATTGTTACACACACACAATCATGCATTCTATTTAAACCTCATAAGAACATTACGGGGGCAGTATAATTACGCCAATTCTATAGATGGCGTCACAGACCTAGAGGTGAAGTAATTAACCCAGGCTCAGCACCCACCAGCCCAAGCAGTTGGGCCCCAAGGTGACATTCAGAACTTGCATTCAAACACACAAAATCATCAGTGCCCTTAGAAGATTTCAAACTCACCCAGAACTATTTGAACCTGAAAGCTGCCCTCAAGTACCTTCACACAACACCAGAGGGCAGACACCGGCCTAGGATCAGGGAGTTGACACCAATCTAGATTCTCAAAAGGGTGCCAGTGAGACCTGCCACGAACCCCTGTCTCCCCTGGTGCCTTACTTTATCTGTGAAATAGGGATAATAAACACATGACCCATCTCCAGGGGTTTGTTAGGATCGGGGGGTAAGATAATTGGTGTGGAGGCACTTTGAAAGCAATACGAAATGCTGTGAATGGAGGTTGTTCTCAAAATAACCTGTTCCAAGTAGGTGGCATGATGACATTTTTTAAGTTATTTTTATTATTTTCTTGTTGTTCGCTTTTGCTGAAAACCATTATGGCTACAAAAGAATATACAGCTTGGGTTAATTTTAATATCGGAGTTGAAGTGAATTTTTCTCTCTACTTAACCTACTATCACTAATCAAAACAAATGGTGCAATTTTATCTTCCTAGAAATGGTAAACAGTCAGTGGTTCTAGACAAGGAGACTAATTTTGGTCTCCCCACTGAGAGGTGCTAAAAGCCCTTGCTTTGACATGAAATGTGTTAATATTCCACGGAGAGCCTCCTGGTAGCTAAGATTGCTTTCAGAACTCACATGCCCTTCCCAAAGAGAACTTAATGCGAGAAAGGAGAGATGCCACCTGAAGAAATTCCAGAGCAATCCAATTATCTCCAAACCTGGGTATCTCGGTGCCTTCTGGATATCCCAACTGCACGCGCCACAGAAACCTCACACTTAATGCTTCCAAAACTGAGCTCACCATTCCCTCCTGTGTTCTCAACAGCAATAAACGGCAAATCCCCACGTTAACCTAGTTTGCTCCTTCCCACTCAGTGTCTAATAATAACAGGTTCCCTTTTTAAGAGATTCTTACCAACATGCCATGCCCTCTAACAGGCATACTGCACGTGTAATTTCAATATTCCCACAACGACTCCATATGAGGAAAGCTTTATTTTACCAATGAGGAAACTGAAGCAATTAAGATGGAGGCAGCATTAGATTCTGAACCTAGGTCAGACTAATTTCAAAGTCCTTGTTCTTTCAACTGTATGAGGATCAAACTCTCTATTTTCTTCTGCTTTAGTACCTCCCGATTCATTGCTTCCAGTGCCTTGGTTCAAGTACCATCACCACCAGCCTGGATTGCTCTCAGAGGCTCTCTACTTCCTCCGGACTACCCCTGACCTTGCCCCATCTCGCATCCCCACTGCTACCAGAATGAACTTGGCAAAATGCAAATACGATCATGGCACTTCCCTGTTAAAAGTCCTTAGTGGCTCCTGAGAGCTTCCAATAAGGGTTCAAATTCTTCAGCGCCTCATGATCATGTCTCTGTCTTTCTCCCTAGAGTCTTCTCCCACCATTCCCCTCCCCACGCCCCATCCCCAGATCCTTTGCTCCACAGATGCTACTTGCAATTCCCTGAATGCATCCTGGGAGATCTCATGTCTCTGTCTTCTGACATGCCCTTCCACCACTAAAATGGCCTTCACCTCTCTTCTTCCTCTATTCAACTGCTACCAGTCCTTCACAAGTCACCTTAAATGCCTACTGTCTCCAAGAAATCCTCTCCTTATCTGACACCCACAGCCTCAGAGCAATGCCCCTGCAGAGAATTGGGTCTTTCTTTCCTTTGTTTATTCTTTCATTCAAGAAATAGTTATTGAGGAGCATCTGAGTGGCTCAGTTGGTTAAGCGTCTGCCTTCGGCTCAGGTCATGGTCCCAGAGTTCTGGGATCGAGTCCTGCATCGGGCTCCTCACTTGGCGGGGAGCCTGCTTCTCCCTCTCCCTCTGCCTGCCACTCCCCCTGCTTGTGCTCTCTCTCTCTCTCTGTCAAATAAGTAAATAAAATCTTTAAAAAAACAATAGTTACTGAGTGCCTACTATGGTCTAGGTACATGCCAACTGCTGGGACTACAGTAATGAGCCAAACAGACACTGTCCCTGCCTTCATGGGGATTCCAGTCAAGTAGGAGGGTGACAGTAATCCAGTCATGACCCAAGTAAAGGATTAACCACACACTGGGGTATGCACCATGAAAGAGAAGTACAGGATGTGAGGAGACCATCTACAAACAGCTGGGGGTGGAGGGGGCAGAGGAGAGATTAACATCTCCTGAGGGACAAAGTTTAAATTTGAAGTGCAGAGGGGCGCTTGGGTGGCTCAGTCGGTTAAGCAGTTAGGCGTCTGCCTTCAGCTCAGGTCATGGTCCCAGGGTCCTGGGATGGAGCCCCGCATCGGGCTCCCTGCTCAG